TAATTACTACAAAATATTCAACTCTTTTTAAAAGAGCATGATCAACTGTATCAAATGCAGCACTGAGATCTAACAGGACAAGTACAGACACAAGTCTATTATCTGACGCGATGAGAAAATCATTAGCAACTTTGTCCAGAGCTGTTTCAGTGCTATGATGAGCTCTAAAGCCAGACTGAAACTCTTCAAAAAGTTCATTATGGTGTAAGTGATCACACACTTGTTTGGCAACTACTTTGTCAATAATTTGAGATAAGAAATGAAGATTTGACATGGGTCTATAATTGACCAAGTCATCTGGGTCAAGAGACAGTTCCTTAAGTAAAGGCTTAATTACAGCAACTTTAAAAGCCTTTGGTACATATCCCTGTAACAGGGAGAGATTAATCACATCTAAAATGGAGGATGAGATCATAGGGAATACTTCCTTAAATAACCTGGAACTGGATCTAACATACAAGTTGAAGGTTTAGATGAAGACAATAGTTTTGTAACTCTTAAATTTCAACTGGATCAAAGCTAATCTAAACCTAGTTCAGATTGTATAGCTACCACAGATGCTGCCTCATCTTCCAGAGACAAACCAATCATAGTTAGAGTGCTAAAAATCTTATTTTTAATAACATCTATCTTATTTATAAAGAATCTCATAAAATCATTACTGCTAAGAGCAGGTGGGTTGGATGGTTCAACAGAGCTATGGCTCTGGGTGAGTTTGCCAACTTTAGTAAAAAGATATCTAGGATTATTCTTATTCTCCTCTATTAATGAGGAGAAATGTGCTGCTCTTGCTTTACGAAGGGTCCTCTTATACAGCAGTAAACTATTTTTCCAGACTAGGTAGGATTCCTGTAGGTATGTGGAGAACAATTTTCTCTCCAGTTTCCTAGCATTTTGCACTCTGAAGCAAAATGCTAGGAAACTGGAGAAATTAAACCAGGGAGCCAGCTTTCTGTTTTTAAAGTTTTTCTTTTTCAAAGGGGCTGTGTTGGCAGTACGCAGAGAACTAGCAACCTCATTAACAAAATCATCAACATGTGAAGAGGAATAAAGTAGTGATGTTAAGAGTTTAGCCAAGGCTTTGAGGCGTGTGTCAAGAAATAGAGGTGGTGTTTCCCCGATGCTTGTGTCGAGGCGTGGTTCATTTAGGGGAGAGGCCAAAATTGATGATGTCCGAAGCCTCTCTACTGTGATACCATGAGACCGCTTCAGGAAGTGGTTTGGACTTCGCGAGAACTTCGACAGGCATTTAAACAGCCTCACTACTCAGTCAAGATGTGGGAGTTTTTAGGGGATACACAATCACCAATTTTCTTTATTGTATTTTATTTATTGAGTAAATGAATAACCCAAACAGGTAATGGACACAGTATTTATATCTTTGTAACCAGCCATCAGGAAGCAAGAGCTGGATGAGCTCCTTGTCGGCCTTGTAGTGAAGGATACGCAACCCTTCAGCATTGTGGATGGGGTTAAGCCACGTGGAAAATCCATTGGAGTATTCGGAGGGGAAAAAACTCCAGTACCCGAATTTGTACAGACTTGCACTTGTGTTCTTATGCACATCAGCCTCTTCAGTGCCTTGTTAATGAGTGTTTTCAAAGGTCGGTGAAGTTTTGTTGAAAAAAAAAAAAGAATAGTTTGAGGCTAAAAACTTTTGATAAAAATGACTACTCCTGAACAAAAATGAATAACACCTTTCATTTTACTGATCATTGCCCAAGTTGCACAAGCACTTTTACTGTCTGTTTCAGCTTATGTCACTAAAATGACAGTGTACCTTTAAGGATTGTTCTAATAACTTTTATGGACACAAAATCTTACAAAGGATTTTATTATACACACCAATCATGGACAATTTCAAAGGAACTTAAATGGGGAAAAAAGCACAAACAGTTGTAAGCATAACAGATTATATTGCTGATCGTAGTTATGCACTCCACCAGTAGGTGGTGACTTGTTCACATGGGGCCTCATGAACTGTGAGGATCGTTGAAGCAATTTGGCCAAACAGTTCAATGCCCCATGAGGCTTCATCTCACATCACTAGAATAAACCAAACTTTTGCCCCCTGGAGCACTACTCAGTGACACAGAGGAGCGAGAAAGTGAAACAGATTCTTAAAAAATTATAACTGCACTATCTGATAATGATCTGCTAAAGTGAAACCTTGTCTTGGGGGAGGAGAACTCTGTTAAAGTAATCCTGAATGTTCTTAAAAAGTGGACAGAGAGGACAGGCTTGTGAGGAAATAGTGTTATTTCTTCACATTCTATGCCATGTGTCAGCACAAGGTCCAAAGTATGAAGGTGAGAATGTGTGGAACTATTCACATTTTGAACAAAGCCAAGCCTAAGATAGCATTAAAGGCTGCTTTTAAGCCATCACCTTCAATGTCAGCATGGATGTTAAAATCCCCCAATATGATGAACCTGTCAGTATTTAACACCAAATCAGTTAGGAAATCTGGAAACTTCTAAAAATTCAGAGTAAGGACCTGTTGGACGATACAAAGTTACAGAAAGAAGAGGTTTTCTTGCCATGGGTTAAATGTTCAAAAGAGTTGGAATTAACTGCCTTTGGAGTAATAAATAAGTCAGACTGAACGATTGTTGCTACTGCTCCTCCTCCTCAGAATTTCTGGGTATGTGAAAAATTCAATAACTAGACGGAGTTGCCTCATTTATACTCACATAATCCTCTTGCTACAGCCAAGTTTTGTAAGACAACATAAATCAATGTGATTATCACAAATCAAGTCATTAACTAGCAGACTTTTAGAGGAAAGAGATCTTATGTTAAAGAAACCACATTTAATCGTTTTAACTTTTCCCCTAATTGGAGTTATTTCAATTTTAATTAGATTATCATGATTTAATCCATAGGAAATCTTTTCTAATTAAATCGATTTTGGTCGTGGACAGGACACTGTCTGGGTGGAGTAATGAGTGGCTAACGGTAGAGAAGCTGCAGAGATGTGTGTTAAACTATGACTCTGCTTCCTGGTCTGCACCCTGGGTTGTCAGTGTTTTAACCAGATTCCTACAAATAAGAGCTGCACCATCCAAAGTGGGAGCCATGCAGGCTCTCCGAATCAGACCAGGCTTTCCTCAAAAGCATTGCCAATTATTAATGTAGCCCACATTGTTTTCAGGACACCACTTAGACAACCAGCGGTTGAATGATGACATGGGCCTAAACATATCATCACTTGTCAGATCAGAAAGGGAAACCAGAGGAAATTATGGATTCCTACATTGTTTTGGCAATCTTACACACCGAAGCAACAGTAATTTTAGTTACCTTCGATTGGCCTAACCAGATGTCATTCAAGTAAGAAACTAGGGACTCTACAAAATAAAAGCCTTTCCATTATACACACCAACTCATTGTGGCATATGGATCAACATTATGACCCAAACTCAACCAGTTTCTTGAAATTAGAAAACAAAGTCCTTTCATGATACACCTTAGTCCACAAATAAAGTCCTAAATAAAGCTTTCCAATTCAAGTGTAATAAACCATCTATGAACCCAATAAAAAGTAAAAAGAGTGATTGAACAAAAGTTAAGGATTCTATATCACTCCAAAGTCTCACCATATGCTAAAGACAGAGCACTGCTAGACCTTCAAAATAAGATACAAGGTACTCTACAAAATAAAAGCCTTAACAATACACTCAGCAATTTATTGCAGCATAGGGATATGCATCATGACGGCAGTCACCACTAGGTCTGGCGACGAAAGTCGTCACAAGTTGTGGCAATGACAGCTGTCATGCCATTCCCCATAAGGTGAGACCACACCAATTTCCACTAGGTGTGGTAATGTCAGTTGGCATCTGGTATGTCGAGATGTAACCACAAGGTTTCACACACTTGACTGTTGTGAGCTGAACCCAACCAACCCCATACAGCCTTCGCTGGAGTGAAATAACTACAAACCAAGTTGCAGGCACCTCCAAAATTTCCTTGGGGGATTTTGTAGTTCTCATTTACCAATTCAGATTTTTTAGAAAGGTTTTTTATTTTCCCTAATATGGTTTTAATTTGATTATTTTTACATGTTATATTTTTATATATTCATAAGAATTCAGCTTTGAAAAGTAAGACATTCACTTTCTCCTGTAATGAAAATGCTTGGATGAAATAATCTATTAAAAAGCTGCTGATTGGGAATAAGATTAAAACTGACTGAAAGTATGTTTCAGTACCATTAAAAAGGCTGTAATGTATCTCATTGTGAATATAGTACTCTATACTGCATACTACTACAGTGTAAGTGTTGGCTTTTATGGTGAATACCCATGATCAGAAAAATGACAAAAAAAATAGTATTTTTCTGCGACCGGATTGCACCTGATTAACATTGATATATCTCCAACATTGAGCTAGAAGCATGTTTATATGAATAAATTAAAAGGTTAACATGATACTGTAGGTCAGTGGTCTGCAAACTTTTCAGCACAAAGGCCAACATTATAGTTGATTTTTCCCCATTTTCCCAAAAATAAAAAGCTAATTTTATTAAGAAGTCAAGAATTAGCAACTGCTTTGCAATAAAACACAAAATGTTGTAATGAAAAGTCTAAAAAATTGAAATCACCCAAAAGTTGAAATTGATAGCTATAAACAAAGAGTTTTTGTTAAGAATTTTGGTATAAATAGGAATGAAAAAAAAAAATGCACATCCCAATTTCCATATGTAAAAAAAAACAAAAAAAAACTTCCATGTACATATTCTCAATTTGCTATAAATAATATAAAAACATGTCTCTCAAGTTCCTTTTACATTAGTTACCACCTCAACTGATCACCTGTGGTGTTTGTGAAGAATGAAAAAAATAAAAATAAACTTGACCATATTTTATATATATTTTTTTTAGATATCTACATTTAAAATTAAAGAAAATATTTCAATTACTGTGACATCCTTTTAACTCAGCAGAATATTTTCATCATCGCAAATCAATGAAAACAGACATATTTGATCTAATAAAGTTTTATTTTCTTAGAAATGGCAAGTTTTCAGTTTTCTTTTGTCTTTCTAAGAAAGTATACCCCTTTTTGAATTCCAACTAGCATCTACTAATGGTTATTGAATACTTCACAATATATTAAGTCTAGATGTTATGGTACATGCATACGATTCAGGCTGCATGAGGAGCCAAAGTCACCACGATACACTGGCAGGGAGGGGACTGGGGGGGCGGGGAAGGGGGCTGCAGACTGACTTTAGTTCCAGTTAAAAAGGAGCTGTGGCGCCTCCTATCGAAACCCTCTCCATAAAACACTGACTGCAACAACATAAACACACACTCACACAAACTTTGCACTGTACATAACACACATTTACACACACCTCTTTATACAAATGCGGACCCGCTCCAACTGCCATTTAAACTAACTCACAGGAGAGGGTTTATAGTGTTTAACAAGGTTCTCTTTCACAGAAAGAAATTCACTACTGGAACTTTTCAGCTTCTGCAGTTTGACATGGTGGGGGGGAATAGGGAGGGACGCTAACCAAAGAAAAAAAATAATTATTATAATATATAATAAAAATAAAAGACATTCAAATACAGTCAGCTTTTTGCTTGAAAATACAAAACTACATGAGAAAGCATTGAAATAAAATCCATTCATCATAACATATATATATTTAAAAAAAAAAATAAAGCCCAAGTGCTCCATCTCACACACACACACACGATCAATCTTTTCCATTATTTTTTTTTAAACCAATAGGATGGCAGCTATGAGGAAGCATGAAGTCTTTAAAACAGCAGTTCTTGAGGGCCAGAAGGATTAGCCGTGTGAAGATCTTCATGCTTTAAGTGCCGCCAGGTGGACCTCAAAAGCTCCTCAGAACAGGTTCCAAGTCTATTGTCAGCTCCACAGCTCCCTCTAGTGGTCCGCTGCAGCCAGATGAAGCCGCTTCCTCTGCAGCCTTTTCCATTTGGGTCCCATCTGAGAGCGCTGCGCTCAGTGTCTCTCTGGGTCCGTATAGCTGCAGGCGGATGCACGTATAGAACTGTGTATGTGTGTGTATGGCTATGTGTAATGCAATGTGTTTTCTCATCTGTGGGCGCTGGCTTGAGAGGACCCCTTCAGTTATGCTGTAGCGTGTTGGACTCGATGGGCGGCGCAGAGTCATACAGAGTGTCTGTGTCATGGGTGGGCTCTCCAGCCAGGGTGCACGGGTTGGACAACGTCCCTGCTCCACAGTCACAGAAAAATCTGGAGGAAAATGCGTATAAGATAGACTATTAGGAAATGTGAAACAAATCAAATTAACAGCTAAATATTTATTTTTTTAGTAAATAAATGTTTTTTCTAATTGTCCAATTAAAGCTGTGACTTTTGCCTTTTCGCCCATCAAAAACTTGACTTTAACACTTTATTTAAACAAATCAAACAAACAATTAACGTAAAACAACTGTCAGCTAAAAATGGTTAAATGAGGAGCTTGTTAAAATGTAATTCATCATCTGACATTGCATAAAATGTTAAAACCCCACAAATGAATAAAATCCTCCATGTTCTGTGTCACTCTGTAGAAGTGAAGCTCCAGCCTTATTCTGGCTTTAATGTTGCACTTCCACAAAGCCATGGCAGTCTGTCTCTACGGGACAGGTGAACGGCCATCTTTGTTTCACTGATTACAACATTTAAAAGTAGGGTCTTAGGCTTATTTCTTCTTTTTTGGGAAAATCCTCCTATAAAAAGAGTGTTTGTGAAAACCGTACCAAAAAGGCTAAAAACACAAATTAAAACGCTAAAAATTGTCTTTAGTCTTCTGCATTTCATAAAAAACATGGAACAGACAGACCGCAGAAAAGACACTTGTTTAAAACACCCCGATTAATAACGAACAAAACGAGTTTGTGGCGATGGCGCCGTGTAAAATCCTCCACTGGAGATCACCAGTTCGTTTTTTTTTTTAATGGAGGCTTGTATAAAGTCCTCCACTGAGGTGCCCAAAGGAATCTTTAACCATCTGACTAATTGGGTCCTATCTGTAAGGCTTGAATAGCAGTGCATTGATGTTTTACAGTGCTTCAACACATTAGTAACAGGATTTGAATCCATGCTTTAATGGGCAACTGCTTTCTAGCACACCAATGGCAATCTTTTGGGAGAAGAGGAGTCCAAGTAATTAGAAATCACAATGTCTGAAGTGGGGTTCGAACCCCCGCTTCCATTGGAGATGGTGGCCTTGGACCGCTCCATCCTGACTATCAAAAAATGGAGAAGCCTCATTTAATTTCCTTTATGAATCACAGGAGCAACATTGTTGGCATAGAAAAAAACAAAATGTAACTTTTCAATAGGGAATTCAGATATGTATTACGACGAACTTTAGAAACTAAGATATTGATTTATTTAATTTCCAAAACCTAAAAAGGAGTATTGAAAACACATTAAAAATTTTCATAAAAAAAGACTTCAAAACTTCTGCAAACTTGTGTTCTAAACAAACAACAGAAAGAATACAAAGTCAAATCTTAGAACAAACAAGAACAGTTTGATTCGGTTGACTAAAACATAGGAAGCTTAATTTAAAAGTAGAGGACCTTACCGATCGTGTCGTATAAACTCTACATCATGTCCTTGGTGACATTTTTTGATGCAGTTAACACAGATGGCATTCCTATCTGTTGTATTACAGGTGTGACACCTAGAAAAATAACATTTTAATAAAAAACTTGGATGATAGCAAATAAAAAAAAAAAAGCAGAAAAGATCAAGCTGGAAATAAATATGGTTATTTACCTGTAGAAGTCATGCATAGGGTAACTAGTGTAGCTGGAGATCTTGTAAAGACACTGTCCCCTGCTCACCGCCTTCTCAATAGCATCCTGATTATTCTGAATCTTGTTATCTGACAGCAGGTACATTAACGACAGTTAGTAGACAGCTAAAGAACCATCGGAGCATTAATAGATATAAAGCTGCCTCCTACCTTTCATGGTGACATTAACTCCTGAGGCCAGAAAAAGCCCGCCAAAGCGATTGTTGAAGATCTGGTTGCCTTCCAATGTTGCAGTTGCGTGGTTAGTGATTTCAATACCTGTTTGGGCGAATAAAGTGATCAGTGAGAACAAATTAGACAAACCAATGTTTCATTGTTAAAGAAAATGTCTTTAAAGCCAACCTGCAGCAAAACCATCAAAAATGCGGTTCTTGCGGAGTGTGGGGTGGCTGTTGGTGCTGATGAGAACTCCAGCCTGTGCGTTCCTGAAGATATCGTTCTCTTCAAGCAGACCTACAGAGAATACATTTTTTTCCCCATAAGTTTCCCCTTCAGAAGAAGTGCATATTGAGAGATACACTGGATCCTGCGACCATTGGCATTTGCGATGATGTACCTCTGCCTCCGTTGAAGATGCAGATGCCCCCATCTCTGCCATCGTGGATCTTGTTTCTCCGTAACGTGGGGTTGCTGTCTGTCTTGATCCACACTCCAGCCATGGCGTTGTCAAAGATTTCATTGTCCTCGATGAAGCCCAACCCTGCAACATAAGAGCAGAGTTAGAAGAGGCTTGGACTCCTCGTCGTTCATCCGACTGATGTGGTGTAAATACAAACCTGAGTTGTAAACTAAAATCCCTCCATTCTGCCCTCCCCAGATCTTGTTGCGCCTTATCTTTGGGTTGCTTCCCGTCCTGCAAAGATAAAAATGATAAAACAATTATTCTCCAGTTTTAATGAATGCTCTAGGAATAAAATTTGACAGAAAAATAATCATTTTCTAATCAACCTTAAAGTATGGACCAGAAAGTTTCCATGGATTCATATAGCACTGGACAAGGATACTACATGCTAGGATAAAATCTTCACCTCTCAGTCTCACTTTTTTTTTTCTTTCCGCAATTAAACAAGTGAAACAGGTCATCACCTTATCTGTACACCAGAGTACATGTGATTGTAGATGTCATTGTCTTCCAACACCCCATGGCCATTATCATAGAAATACACGCCCACCTGAGGGAGAAAGGAAATAGTTGCTAAAACTCAGTTTTCTATCTATGTAAATATAAAATCATGAGCTACGACTGTCAATAATAGCAAAAATACTAGTACTGATGACAAAAGATAGAGTTTATGAATAGTTTTCTATGTTCTTTTTATCAAAATGGGTAACAATTAAAAGCACTGAAGAGCCATTTGTTTTTATCCCACCCATCGCATCTTTAATTTAATAAAACAAATTGTAGCATCAATAAGTCACTTTATTGATGCTTTTAAACAGTTGTATGTTATTGCTTTTCTTTTGTCTTTTTGTACTGGTAAAAAAGGGGGATAGTGATTGGACTATGTCCTACTTTCAGGTTCTTCAGGGTAAAGTGATTTTGTGACTCCCATAAACAATTACACCTGGAGACTGTTTACATTTGATCACTGCTGCACTTAGAAATGTAAATGTTCATTTCACTCCTAAGCTGTTGCTCATTTACTGTCTGAAAGCTGTACAATACGAAAATTTAGTTTTGTATAAAAAAAATAAAAAAAAAAAGACAATAAAAGTAGTCCAAGTCTAAGACTGCGTTATTGATTGTGATTTAATTGTGGTTCCTTGTCAGGTTTCTGGTTTAAACCATGATCAGAATGGGAATAGAATAGTTCAGTTAATCAGAGGATCCTTCTTGTTTACAGCTATTAAAAACAACTAATTTGCAATAATAATAAAAAAAAAAAAGTTAGAACAAAATGTTATGTTCCTTTAGGATCAATGACGTAATTTTTAATTGAACTGAATTTGGTTAAACCATAATCCAGCAATTTTACCATTATTATGTCTATATCAGGGCATTTAACAAAGATATACAGAATATTGTTGCCTTCTTTCAGATGTTTATTGTTTAGATATTTTCAAAATGCTATAAAAGTAATCATAAAGGTTTTTCAATAAAAATAATTCCACATTTTAAGATGGTTAAAAAAAAAAGTCAGTTTTAGGTATTTGGTACAATTTTATTTTTAAATAAGATTTTCTTCAACTTGCTGCTATGACTAGTCAAATAAGTTATTTTATTTGGCATATTATACAATTTATTTATATATTGAATTCAGAAAATATCGACAAATTAAATATCTGAAGTGAAGAAATGTAATTTAAAGTGAGAACACATAGATCAGTTATCAGATAGGTTAAGATTTCCCTTGGTTTGAACAGTGAGGCTGTTACCTGTTTGCCGCTGTGGATGCGGTTCTTGCGGAGCACTGGAGTGCTTCCTGTGGTCACCCAGACTCCAGCCAACGTGTTGCTGTAAACCTCGTTCTCCTCTATCACCCCCTGGCCTTTCTCATGCTGAAATGACGGAAATGGTCACTCATACAAACATATCCCCACTTACTAGAAAAGATTTAATTGTAAAACAAATGAGTAGAATATTTACCACATATATGCCTCCATGCTGCCCATCGTGGATTTTGTTGTGCCTTACAATGGGACAGCTGTTTGTTCGGATCTGAATCCCAGCCAAGGCGTTACCATAGATGTCATTACTTTCTATTAAACCCCGCCCGTCTCCAAATATGTACACTCCACCTTGGTTACCGTTAAATATAGCGTTTCCCCTGAAATTAAGAGGAAGGGATAAGGTTTAACAAGCAGAGGACAACCCAGCGATGGTTCACACCTTCAGCCTTCTTACCGTATCGTCGGGTCGCTGTTGGATGTGATCCAAACACCAGCAAAGTTATTGGCATAGATTTTGTTCTCTATAAATTGACCTCGCCCCTTTTCATGGACGTAGATGCCTCCCGTTTGTCCGTGGTGGATCTCGCAGCGAACAACCGTAGGGTTGGCGTATGCCTTCACCTCAAAGCCAGCTATGCGATTTCTATGAATGTTACAGTTTTCGAAGTAACCCTACGGTGATCACAAAAGGACAGGTAAGCTTCTCTGAAAGGTTTCTTTAAGTAAGGTGAAAAACAGGATGTAGGTAGCCTTACTCACCATGCCGTGATCGAACGTGAACACTCCTACATCTCGTCCGTGGTGAATGTGGTTACGCCTAATGATGGGATTACCATGGTTCTTCACCCAAATTCCTGCCAGCGCATTGTTGCTGATTTCATTATCCTCATAAATGCCCTGCAAAGACAAAAGGGGGTGCGGTCAAAGAGCCTGTTTGTTGTTTATTAAAACAAACTTAGATTTTACCTGTGCATGGTCTGTGATGTAAAGTCCCACGTTCTCACAGTCACTGATGTTGCAGTGTTTGATGGTCGGACAGGCACCTTGTCCGCTCACACACACAGCTGAACCCACTGGGGACAGAGCAAGGAAGGCATCAGGCAACCGAAATGCGAACAGAATATGCGATACAAAAAAAAAAAAAGAAAATACACACACAAGTACACAGGTGACTGTTCTTAAAAAGCCTTTATTAGGACATGGCTAATAGTAATAATAATAAAAAAAAATGCACCATTCAGCCATGTCCTAATAAAGGCTTTTTTATAAAAACAGTCACCTTTTTAGTTGCCTCAGTTTGACAATGATCACGACACTAAAGAACACGAAAAGGAAAGCACCACAAATAAGTTTTCTGACTTACAAACAGCACCCCTGCATACTTTGACTAAAAACCGACATTAATCCAAACCACTCACTAACATTTTGCACAGTTGAGACGTATAACTTCAAATAGAGGGATTCATTCCAGTAAAACCAAACCCACTTGGCCAAGTTGGTTTTATTAGCGTATGAGGAAATATGATTAACCATCACCTGACGGTGAGCGGCAGGTTTACCTGTGCATGTAGAGCGGATAATGCAGTGGTCGATGTTGGGGCTGCAGTTGACTGTAATCTCCAAACAGTGGTGGGCGTTGTGATGCTGCGCTGATTTATCATCTGGATTAAACTGAGAAGAAAACAGAAACTGGAGTCAGACAGGCATAACTACAGAAAACACTTGTCTGCTCAACCCTTCCTTACTGCTTTTTTAAAGAGCTGCTAATGGCTCAGAAAACAAGAGGAATATGTCGGCTCTTATTTAGTTAACCCTGTGCAATAGACAGTTATTCTTTCTAACCATCATCTCTCCCAACTAACTCGCTATCATTTGCTGCTCTTGCACACCTTTTTATCCTTGCAAGATTCTGTAGATAATTTTATTTTATATATGAATATAAGTTGCACATTGTATTGTTCTGGAATGTAATACATTTTTTATTAGTTTACAGCATTTTTAAAATCAACATGACTGCGAGCTGTGGCTGAAATGTTTTGACTTTAGTTGGGAGTGAATGACTTTTACTTTTGTCGAGGTTAAGTGTAATAATGCTTACAATTCAAAGCAAGTATTACTATTCAAATTAAAAGACAGCTTGTTGCTTTTCTGCCTCGATAAAAACACTGACCTATCAAACAAAGGCAAAAACATTCTCATTTAAATCAGTATGAAGAGAACACAATATTTATTTATATACAAATCAGAATGACAAAAGGTTAACAGAAGTGAGAGGTTAAGGTTTTACAAATTTATAAACCAAAGAACTTAAGCTCTCTACACACTGCAAGATAAAAAAAAAAAAAAGAAAGTCATACAGGACTTCAATATGTCACACTGAACTGAGGCGGATGTCAGACATCACGACTTATCAGTCTAAAACTAAGAAATCATTTTATTGTTCATTTTAAATCAGAAATGACAGGGTACTACCATATTTATTTGTAAAAGACTAGAGGTCATTTGTTTACCTTAATCGTCATGTATCCCACATACGCATCTTCTGATCCCTCCATGAAGACGAATGTTGAATCTCTAGTATTCTCTATGACAACCTTGTCTGCTACTTTACCAGGTGCTGAGAAGAAAACAGATAGCATTAATTAAACTATTCATAGAGAGTTTAATACGATTTGCCTCTCCAGGACAGATATGGACTGCATGTAAGTGTATAAAGATCTTCAGCATCTCTCTATGGCAGCAGCATACTTACCTGCACCGATCATGGTGATGGGAGACTCTATATAAATCCACTCATCTGTATAGATCCCAGAATGAACAAAGATAAGACCGTCAAAGTGGGCTTCTTGAACACCTCCGAGCGCGTCCTCAATGGTGTCATAATACTGCCAAAGACAAAAACACTTTCAGACTTCATCAATGCTGAGCAACCGTTCTGACTTCCTCTGGCAGATTTGAACTTACCAACATGTTCTCTCTGCCTTTGTATCTGCCAGGGTTACTGTAGAAATGTTCAGCAAAGCCTGGCTTTACATGTGCACCTTTGTACTGCAACACAGAGATATAAACGCAAAATTGATGAATGCAGAATGGTAAACACACATTTTCTGAATATCAGACCAAACCTCAGAGCAGAGAGAATTTTTTTGAATAAATAAAGCTGGTTATTTTGCCGATTAGACCATAGAAGTCAAAGACACAGATACTGATATGAAAGTGGTGTCAAACCAAAGGAGAATACATATAGAAAGTTAATGAGTAACAAATACAGCAATGTACTCTGTGGTGGATGCAACAATGATCTGCATTCCTTTATGCCCAGACTAAAGAAGAGCTTAGCACGCTTCAAATATGCAGTCATATCGTTCCGCTGGTTTGGCCATGAAAATCAGTCTTTATAAAGAATAAAAGTCTGGCTACCAGAGCAGGTAGTCAGACTAAATAGCACTGTAACTACAGCTTTCTATAATTATGTATCTCTATACAGAGCAGAAATTCTATTGTTTGCAATAAACGCTTAAAAATGAAAGCTCATTTTAGCCAGAATGTATTCTTTAGTTTGGTTATTATATGAAATTAACAATAAATAAACAGTGTAAAGATCATTTTAATCAAACAGGGGTATTAAATTCACAAAAACTCTAGAGTTCATTTTTTCTCTATAAACTAAGGTAAACAAATCATGATGATACATTTATATTTGAAATAGAACATTAATAGAGTGAAACCACAGTAGTTTACCCTTACAGTGAGAAACTCATGCCACGTATAGATATTGCAAACAAAGCTGACAGGAAAAGGAAAAAAAAAACAGAATTTTTTGCAGAAATACCTTCACATTTCTACTTTCCCATTTTGTGTTTTGATCTGTTTTTCCCTGATTTCTTTAAGTTTCTTACCCATCCTGCATTACCTCACCTCTACCTCTGATAGAATTAATTTAAAGTTGTCTGCTGCATCCTAATATAGGAAACCAATTTTATAATTCAAATGATGATTCCCAGCAGAGCATTGCTCAGTTAATTTTGTGTGAACAGAGGTCATAATATCTCCTGTCATTTAATTTGTTGGCCCCAATAATTTATGCAAACACCTGAGAGAAATAAACTGATCTGTGATGGTATAGCATGATTCTGTAGTAGTTTATTTAGGGCTACAAACTGGGAACATAACTTTGGTTACATTCTAATTAATACATTGATACAGTCATCAGATAAACACAGCACTAGTACTGATGACCGTTCAACTTAAAGTAACTTATAGAATTTGCAGAACCTTTAGACCAGGGGTCTGCAGCCTTTCATATCCAAAGATCCATTTTGTCCCGAGTCCAACCAAGTAAAAGTTCTTTAGAGCCGCAAGAAGATGGTGGTTTTTTTTTTTTTATTATTATTATTTTTTTATTATCTCATATAGGAAATTTGTTGCCAATAAACAACCAATAATGTATTTTCATCTTTTAAAATAATAATAAAACACAAAAATTCCAAGCAAATTAAAAGCATAATGGCTCTAAAAACAAATTTCTGGTACTTTAATGTCCATTTCATCACTCTTATAAAACCACTAAAGCTTTTAAGACTGGTATTAATTTTAAAGTACATTATTTAGCTCTTTATATTGTTAAAGATAGGCTCTGTGTTTTAATGATAATTATCCTAACAATATACATTTCAACCACTACTAAGAGCAGCTGTAGAGGGTCTAAAGAGCCAAATGTGGCTCTGAAGCTGCAAGTGGCACATCCCTACCTTAGACCTTCTTTACACAAAAAGGATTCAAACACTTTGGTTAATCAAACTTAACCAGCTAAACCTAAAGAGGTTCGACACAGCAAAACCCGAGAAACATAAAACAAGTCAAGCTTACACCTACAGCATTTATTTGTGCTAAATAAGAATAACTGCATTGCTAATAAAAGCCACAGACAATAAAAGAAGCTTAAACAAAGTGTTCCCTATAATAAAAGAAAAAACATTTTCTTTCAGCAAGAGCTGTTTGCTTGTTTCTGAGGTTTGAAAACTAAGTATGAGGATTAAATGACTCAGTTCCATTTAAATTGAACTTTTAACCTTAAATAAAAACAGTACTAACCAGCTGCTGGAAGCTCTCTTTCCAGGGGTTTGGATGCTCGTGTTCTTCAGGGCTAACCTGGTAAAACCTGCCTGGCTCAGGATGCATCATGGGACGTGTATACTCAAAAACCTCCATGTATAGCCGTTTCCTTGAGGGAAGAAAACGTCAAGTACAGAATCTTAGTGAACCTTTTTTTTTTAATATAGTTTAAGACACAAAGAGCTGACAGCCCTTACCATAGGATGGGATCGTTTGCCAACTGGCTGAATCTCTTGCACACACAGGCTGCCTGGCAAAGGTCCTGCTCCAGCAAGTAAGAGAAAATCTTCAAAACAACCTCATCTGGAAGCTTCTGTTGCAGATATTGTTCTGCTGGGGCTGCTAAAACAAACAACAAAAAAAAAAACTGTCCAAGTCTGATATTATAGTAAAAAGTGACTTTACCGCAACAGCAGAAGTCAGCCACGGAAAAAACAAAACAAAAATCAAACTTAAAACACTGCTCATCAAGCTGAAGAGCTTAAACACACCTGGAAGGTCGTGGGTCTTACCGGACACTCGTGCCCGCTTGGCTCGATGACCGAAGGCGTCTGTTGATGAAGTGGAAGCTCCCTGAAAACACAGCCAAGATTTAAGCTTGAAGCGATTCATTGGGAAAGGTAAAAGCTTTGTTGAGAAAAGACAGTTTAATAAAACGGATAAGTTTTCCCCCCAGGCCACATTTACCATCTTCACTCTGCAAAAAGAGAGAAGGATGTAGCAAAGAACAGACCCAGCAGCTTTTAGTCTCACCTCCATCGGGCCCTTGCTGGGGCAGGCAGAGGCGGTGGCAGAGGCAGCGGTGGTTCTCTTGGGAAGCAGGGTCTTGCGTCGAAGCTGGTAGGGACTGTTCTGAGCACCTGGGCCGGACTCCTCAATAGCCATTTCTGCTGCAGCGGCTGCAGGAGCCTCCTCATCTAAACAGAAGAGTATTGCAGGTCTTAAATAAAAATGCCGTAAATCAATCGGTCAAAGATTGATGTTCTTTATATGCCACTGAAGTGACGAAGATTTTGACCCCTCCCCGTTTACTATAAAAAGTGCCAACCAATCATAAGTGCTTTGATGCACTTTGAGTATAACAAATAAGATACATTTAACTGAAGCCTATTTTAATTTGCCAGCATTTTTTTTTTACTTTTTTTAATGACATACTCATGAGACAAACAGAAAAGACTCAATGAAAAAAGGAAATAAGTATCTGCTCGATCAGTGTATCTATTATTTTAAACATACAACACCTCATAAAGTCAGTCTGATGCGAACAAAGCCGGTAGAGATATTAGGATGCTTTGTTTTTCCTGAAAGGTAAGTTTTCAAACTGATTTAGTTAAACCGCAACTAAAAAAAACAAAGAAAGAAACCTGAACTGATGCACTAGCACACGCTTTTGCACTTTGTCCATGTCAAAGTGTAAGAGAAAGTAGGCAATATACATTGTTGGTAGGCGCTTTAACTAAGGTACTGCATTTTTTTAAATAATGTTACAATGCCGAATGTATAAATTCAATCATTTAAGCATGTTTCATAAACTCTGCAGATCCCTTATTAATAGTTAGTTCAAGAGGCATAAACAATACTTAAACTAGGTTTCATATTCTAAAATATTTTGATGTCTAAGGAAGAAATTATTAAAAATCGTGCCACACGTAATTTGTGAGGAATAAACATTTCAGAATTTGAGGTTAATGCAAGTTTACATGATTTCATCTCTGGAAGTTCTTTTAATGCTCTTTAACAAAGGATATGTTATTGTTTAACAGAATCTCTGAAGGAGATTTTGCATGTACACCTATAGCAAACAATGCACACCTTTATTTAATTAAGCTAAACTTATAAAAACGTTTCTGCTTTTTTTCCTGTAAAAATGGACAGAATTTCTTTTGTTTACATCTTCATGGTAAAATATCAGATTTTGAAATCCAAAGTGGGTTACAGATGTCATTTTGTATTAAGAAAGTTAGAACAAATGTTAACCTATTTTAAACTAATTAGGAATTTGATTGTGTCAGTGTAATTATATGCCTCTATATCAGCAACAAAACACAAACAAAAAAACAACAAAAAACACCTCAGAAATGTTGCCAGGGTTTGTATTCATTTAACTAGGGCTGAAACATTTAATCAAATCAATTGTTATAAATCGATTATTGAAACAATTATCAACAAATTTAGCAATCGATAATTTGTTGCAGCTCAGAGACTTAAAGTGGAAAACTTATTTTTAGGCGGTTTAACTTTGCAAAAAGTATTCTTTAAGGAACCATTTGCTATCCGATTATTATTAATAATAATAATAATAATAATAATAATAATAATAATAATAAAAAAAGATTAATAAATTTGCGCAAAAATAATAATATAACAATCATGAATAATTGCTTCAAAGCAGCTTTTGGTATCTGAGGTATATATGGTGAATATATATATATATACATATATATATTTGGTATCTGAACTATATTTAGACAGTGAAAAGAACTGTGTTGGTTTATTAATCACCAGTTTGATAACTAATGTTTAAAAAAAAAATTAAATAAAGATTTAATAAAGGAAGACATTCAAAATATACTTTTCTTAAAATCACTCTGGAAAACTGGATAAGAAATTAAAAGATTAGATATTATCCAAAAGCTAAATATTCTATGCTATTATCTATAAAGGTGAATAAAATAACTCTAATAAGTCAGATAACTGATACTCATAAAAAAAAAATCACATAACAGGATCTTTAATAAGCCAGTTATGTTTTAGCTGAGAAACATAAACATATCTAGAAATTCACCAATTTAAAAGCAGTAAATGCCTCAATACTCAATCTTCACACACGAAATTAAATTAAGAACTTTAGAAATGATTAGTTTTGTTTTGCAAATGTTACAATGTTTTTGAAAGATGTTGCCACATTCAATTTAAGGGCAAATAAATCAGACAAAGGTCTGTGATTCATTATGGCATATTCGCTATTTGCAGCTAAAATGCCTTTTCCCAGGTCTAGCTATCATGAAAAGACCCCAATCTGTATGCATTTGTCGTTATCCCATCCACAACCACACTGCTCTTTTATAGTGCTGTCAAACCAGACGATGTCGATTAAACGTGCGGCTAAAAGCTAAAAACTGAACTGCGTAGCTGGTAAATCCGCGGTGTAAACAAATCAAGCCGCGACTAGCATAGATCGGCGGTGACAAGCCGATGATAAAATAAAGCTCCAACCCTACAACTGTGTGGATATACAGCTGACACGGTTTAATTAGCTTAAATCACACTGTATGCCCAGTCACAGCTGATATGCGTGTCATCTTGAGGCGAGAGCAATCAGCTAGCACTGCCCCTAAAACCACTGCTAATGTTTTTGTTAACGTTACACCCCAAAAATGGCAGTCCTAAAGGTTTGCACACGGAGAAATGGCTGTGAACAGCTGAGAATGCAGCAGCCGGGTGGTTGTGAAGCTTGTGGTGACATGGTGCTAGGCCGTCCTTTGAGCTTCCAGTTGAGGAATATATGAAGCATTTATGAAGTCCGCCTAGCTACATACGCATTAAGCGAAGGCAACCCCCAACCTCCTCCTCCTAACCCAGTGAGCTAGCTATAGCCTCAATCACTCAAGCCAAACAAAGCGCGGCCTGGCCTGTGCCACGGAGAGAGAAGCCTCGGGTTTTCCTCGAAAAACCAGCCGGCTCCAGACCTTCTAAGCAACTAGACAGCAATAAAGCAGGTTACATAAAAGAGTAGCTTCGCGTAACAAGGCTTTGTTTAAAACCTTTAGCCGGCCGGGGCCTAGCTTACCTCTATCCGCGTTGATTCGTTCGGGCTGCACCGGGCGCGGCCTCGATACTCGCCTGGGTCTCCTGTTGGTGGCTCTGAGGGAGTTCATCTGGGGAGTTGGTTGTCGAAATATACGCCGCTATCCTCGACTACCCACTGATCAAACGTAGCCCCTCGACTGGAACAGCCACCCAGACGACCTTTCCCCCGAATAACCCCACCGATACAAGCTAAAATCACCCGACTCTGGGATGTAATTGCTTATTTTTTCACTCTGCTCCGTGGTATTTCGGCTAACCCCCGTTTCACTGCTCTGTGCCAGCTCTGTCTCTCTCCGTAGCAGGAGGAGCCATTAACTCGCACGGGAAACAATCGACAGGAAAAAAATAAAACATACCGTCACCTTAACCAATCACAATTTGCGTTTCAACATATTGGTTTCAATGGACGAATCAAAAGGCTCGTATCAAGGCAATGTAAAAAGCATTTTATCACAGTATTTCTGCTGCAAAACTATTTGTGCTTGTAAATGTGAAGTTGAAAAAATGCTTTATATATATATATATATATATATATATGTTAAACACCACCTCATATGTCTTTGACTTTACTAAAGTAAAAAAACAAAAAAAAAACACTGCCATGATTTGTCTGTTATACCTTTTCCCTTAATTTATCTAAAAATTCATGAATGCAGCTTCAAAATTTTGCACCTTAGTTTTCAACTGTACACCTATTTTGCTGTGTTCCTGTCTTTCTCCATCCATCATACCACTAGTTCAACAGACCTGCCAGAAACCTGTTGGAAACACCATAATTAATTGTTACTACATTGAAGCTTACCAGTTGATAATCATCTTACAATAAATGTAAAATACCTCTTTGGTGTTTAGATTTAATGTAGTCAAATATAGCTGGTAAAAATATAAATTTGATCCACAAGCCGAGGCATCTTTGCAACCTTTGAAAAGACATGTCAGAAGGTGATGAAGCCAATAACAACAGCATCACAGAAAGGAATTTTTAAATCTGACATTTCTTAGTATTTTTGTTAAAAAACAGGGCCCTTGCTGACATAATCAGACAGAATCCCTCATTTACCATTGATCAATTAAGGGGCTCCTACTGTAATACATTAGAAATTTGGCAAGAAGAGATGCTGGCAATGTAAGAGTAAAGAAAATCATATTTTGTAACATGTAAGGAAAAATAAAATAGAAGACTGAACAGAAGACAGATTAGTGTTAGTGGTTATAAAGAAAACCAGTGCTAAAATTAGTTTATAAAGACATTTTTTTTCTATTCTAAGGTAAGTGATGCCACTAGATTTTCATTTGATCAATCATAGCTAAATACCTTTTTTTTTTTTACAAATTTAAAAAAGTCTTAGTAGTACCTGAAATACTTTAATTTGTCTTAATGCGGGAAAAAGTTGAAACAGAATTAATTTGTTCAAGAAAAAGCTAATCTGACTGTAAAAATAAAGAGAGACAAGTATATATATATATATATATATATATATATATATATATATATATATATATATATATATATATATANATATATATATATATATTTATATATATATATATTTTTTTTTTTTGGACAGCATATTACCGATAATTACCAGTTAACACCTAAAAGTTTAGCTACCCTCAACAGCTTCTGCATTAGATGTATTTAAGGATTATGCCTCGGACACAATAAAGCATTGACCCTGATTAAGAGTTTGCAGTCAATGTCAAGCACTATGCATTGGACAAGTAATAGAGATATTTGGGTACTGCTTTTGTTCTATTATAGCTTATTTGTGTTCATATGCAATCCAGGGAAATAATAAGAATGTTATGCTAAATTGTTTTGATAAGTATACGAGTTTAACATAAGAAGAATAAATCACCAGTTTATGATTTCTATTCATTTTTTAAATGGTTCATTTGTCTTAAGTGTAGGCATGTTTGCACAGTTAATGTCTGTTACTTAGCAATCTTGCATTTAAAAGGGAAATGTTCAATTCCAAATATTTTTGAGGAAGTTAGAAAGTGAAGGGTTGGAATCACTTTGTTCAATTAGTCTGGCTTCTTTTACATTCTCCCCTTCAGCAATTGTTGTGTGAATTGCCCAAGGTATTGTCATAAGTAATTATTGTATTTTTATTTTTCTTTTTGCATTTTTTTGTAAGGAGGGGGACTTTGTTCTAAAAGTGTAACATCCGATTCATTACGGTATATGATGAGCATTTACAAATGAAAAAGTGGTAACCAAAGTGTTGTACATTAAGAGACCTATTAAGCATAGTAGAAAAGGGACAATTATTAAACATTACTAGGCATAACAACTGGGGAACAAACAAATGTAAGGTAAAAAATATTAGTCTTCAAAATCGAATATAAAAGGAGAGAGTAAAGTAGGCTTCCTAAGCAAGGTCATTAGGAGAAAAAAAGGAAAACAAGTTCAAAATAACTTCTGTTATAGAAAATCAAGGTGTGAATGGCCTCCTCAAAACTCTTGCAGAACTTAAATAAAAAGTTCTGTAGGTAAAAAAAAAAGTCTGTTTATCAAGGAGGACTGAAACTAATCAAAGGCTGTAACTGTAATATTAACACAATGCTTAAGACAATAAAGTAAAATGCCCTGAACTACAGATCCAAAAGCACAAGGACTACCAAAGGTCAGTTGCTGAAACAAAAATGGCTAAAAACCCTTCAAAACAGCAGATTCAGTGCTGTGAAACTTTTCAAAAACTCATTGGAACATCTGAAAAATTCAAATTCTCTCTAAAAACTGGGTTTTTATATCACTGCTTTTATCCTGATTGGGACAAAAGTTGGTTTTAAAAACTGTTGTTTTGTTAAATTTTGAGCCAATGCATCACTTTATTTGAAAATGAATTAAACTATCATGCTTCACCAATAATAAAGGGTCTACTCACATAGTGCATGCCAAAGGTAGGGGACTACAAAACTCTTTACATAACATTCAGTAATTCACACGCTGATACTGCCAAGGTACATTTTAGCTATAGATTAGGATATCTGACTACAATCAGTAGGCAATGCAAGTAAGGTGTCTTCCTCAAGGAAACAGTAATTAAGTAACTCTGGCAACCCTCAAATGCAGGACAAACTCCTGCCTCTTGTAAAAGCTTAGCTTTTTTCAATTTTGGCGACTCAATATTACACTGGATAAAGACGTTATATAACAAAACTTACTGTAAAATTATAAATAATGGACACATCTCAGGGACAATACCATTATTAAGAGGTCTAAAACAAGGGTGTCCTTTGTCTCCGTATGTGTTCATCATTGCAATGGAAATATTAGCAATTAAAGTCAGACTGAATGAAAATATTGAAGGGCTCATTGATAATAATAATAATGAAAGTAAGATAACAATGTATGCGGATGATACAAGTTTCTTCATTAGTCCCAATCCCCATTGTTTACAGAACCTTATAAATCTTTTGGACATCTTTTCAGAGCAATCTGGGATTAAACTTAACTACGATAAATGTAAAATATGAAGGATTGGAAGTTTAAAGAAAACAGCCTTTCCAATGAAATGTAAAGTGGCTGTTGTGTGGACAGATGGACCATACTTGGCGTTGTGATCCCAGAGACTCTGGAAGACTTAAGTTTAGTAAATTATGATAATCGACTAAGAAAGCTGTATAAAATTCTGCAATTATGGAAAGGGAAATATTTAACTTTGTATGGTAAAATATCTATTGTTAATTCTTTAATTACTTCTTAATTTATTCATTTTTTTCTGTCTTTACCAGCTCCATCCCATTTTTTTTTTTAAGTTTGATTAACAGAAAATCTTCGATTTTATCTGGGATGGCAAGCCAGAAAAGATAAAAAGAAAAGTTTTGTACAATGAATAATATGGAGGTTTGAAAATCCTCAGTCTTGAAGCTACATGTTTGTCTTTGAAAGCATCAATTGTTCCAAAGATGTACACAAACAATAAGTGGAACACTAGTGTCACATTGGAAAAAAAATCTACATTTTCCATATGTACAGAGTCTGCTGGGAAACATTTCAGGGTTCATAAAGGAAATACTCCATTCATGGTGGTGTTTTCAATTTTATGTACCAGAAAAAAGAAATTATATTTTGCAGCAGATAATATGGATGAATTCCAATATACTAAAAGATGGACTGCCTTCCTTTTGGAAAAGCATGTTTGAAAGAGGAGTTATCTTTGTTAATGAAGTTATTAATGAGAGCAGTAAAATTATGGAGTATAAGGAATTTAGAATTATATATGGTGATGCTTTTTCAAAATTTTATTTGAACAAACTCACTGGAGTAATTGGAAAAAAAAATAGAAAAAATAATTAACAATGGAACTACTAAACTATATGTTTGTAAACCTCCAACAAAAAATCTAATTGGCAAAAGGGAATTAAAATAAATAGAAAAATATATAAATTTTATTTAACAAAAAAAATCACTGATGGTTACCCCATATAACACATATGGAAAATGGGAGGACAACTTTGACTGCCTGCTGCCATGGGATATAATATTTCAATTAATTTATAAAAATACTATTGATGTGCAAAATCATTAGTTTTAAATTAAAATTATATAAAAGTTTTTACCCACTGGGACAATGTTAAAGCTATGGAATATGACAGAGTCAGATGATCACCATTTCTGTTGCCAAGAGTCTGAATCCACCCTGCATTTGTTTTGGTATTGTCAAATTCTCTTTTTTGGGTGGAAGTAAAAAAAAATGTGTTTAAGGATTGGCCTGTCTATGAAGCTTGATGTGGTTTCTGTTTTACTGGGAGAGTTTATCAACAGTCACCACTTAGTTAATTTAATCGCTGTACTTGGTAAAAGGTTTATCTTTAAAGCCAAAAATAGATTTTCACTTGGTATTAATTTCTTTAAAACACTTATTCAGCATTATTTAATTTTAGAAAGTTATATGGGTGAAACCAATGATGAAGCCAGACAATATAAAAACCAATGGGAAGTTCTCACATGTTTATTTTATAAATGTAATTTATGGTTGAACACAATGGGTGAATGAATGTGAATGAGTGTGGGAGGGTGGCTTTTGGGTTGGTATATCATCTCTGTAAATGTATCCTGTGTTGTCATTGATGTTGATGACTCTTTTGAATCTCCTTAAATCTCTTGAATTAGCTTTGCTCTATAGATTTCCCATTTATCCCAAATGCTTTTGCACATTTCTTAAGCACAATTTTTCCAAAAACTCAACTTTCCATTAACATGCTTTACTAAAGAAAGCGAGTAACTGAGAAACTGAGCAACTGTTTCAAGGTCATATATGTTCAGATCTGAACATATGTATTAGTCACATGGATTTACATACCACCAAAAAAGACTTTTTGATGCTCAACTGTACAGTTATTTTCAAAGAAAGCACATGGCTTCATAAAAAACATAATATCTCTGCCTTGCATTGAATTTCTTGCTTTAGGCTGATGTTATTTTTGCCTAAACCCAGAGACCTTTTTACTGCTCTTTTTGCAATGGTGTATTCTTTGTCAATTACTGTTTAACCAAAAGTTTCAGAGAAGGGTGTAAAGGTTGTCTCAGAGATTAAACTGGAGCACCAAAAAAATAAAAAAATTGTTTTAACTACTAGTTTATTTTACTTCAGATAAGGTAACAAAACCTAAAGTGGCAATATACTGCAATCATTTTGAAGATGACTCATTAATGTATCCCTAACAGGTCCATTGAACATTTGTAATTTAATGTATTTAGGTTTAGGCTCAGAACAAAAGGACCTAGTGTTTGAGGTGGAAAGACAGATAGATTTAACAAAACATTTCTTAGAAACAGAACTGCAAAGCGCAGCTTCAGGGTCTAAGGCAGGAACCTCTGCAGGAGAAGACAACAGTTTAGTGACCTTGTATATCTGGCGGACGGGGATAATTAATGTGTAAGCCCTAACGTGGTTTTAAAGCTCAGTCCGAGCCCAGAGGATGAGGCTGGTTCTGGCCAGTAGGCTGGCAACGAGACATTGCGGGTGCCACCCAGAGAGTCCCAGGCGCTGGTCTCTCGTAGGTCATAGGACAGGCAGGAGATCAGAGCCAAGCAGACAAAGAAAGGCAGGACAATCCAGAGCTAAAGCTTTTCTTGAAGGCATGCTAGGGAGTCAGAGCCAGGAGATCAGATCTCAGAAGAGGTGCTGAAAGGAAATCCAGAACAGTGTCTGGAAACAGTTCCAGGTTCGGTACACAGACAGGAAGAAATCAAGCAGGAGTCTGAAGACAGGTCAGGCAAACAGATCAGAACACCTACAGGCAGGCTCAGAGGTCCAGAGGTAGAATGGGTCAGGAACAAGTAATCAGAAACACTCAGAAATGCTAGAGAACTGTCACCAAAGACTCAAATAATCTGGCAGTGATGACTGGTCTGAAGGCTGGTTAAATATAGCCTGAAACAGGTGGATCAGATGATCGATAATGAGAGCTGGGCGGAGATAGGCAGGTGAATGAAATGAGTTATCAGACCAGACATCAGCACCAATATCATGACAGCTCAGGCTCTTGCTCCACATTTCTTTATTAGTCCAATAAATCCCTAACATCTAGTTCTCAAAATAAACTATCACAATATCATCTCTGTTTTTTGCCTCAGCCTTCTTGATCCTTATGATCTTCAGATCAGCATCTTTTCAATGAATTTATTGCCTATACCTGCTTGTCTTTGCTGGGTTGTCTGGATTTATGCACCATGTTGCAAAGCTGAAATCATCTCAAGCTTGTTTCTCAGAAATGACAATGAGTTTGATGAGCTTTAACTGCCTATCTAGTGACCAGACCTCAATCTAATAGATCCAAATTGAGAGAGGAATGAACAGAAGATTTGTATAATAGATTCTCAAAAAAAAAAAAAATCCTCATTTACTATGTAATGTTGTTAGATAAACATGAGGCAAAAGCTCTGAGAAATGTTTTAAACATAACATCAAAATACAAGAGTATTTGTAATCCCTCGTACGAACACCAGGGGGAGCTTTTTAGCTACAATAGTATCTGCACTCTATGCCAGACAGAGTTGAACTGTTCTGTATTTATGAGGTTAGGCATGTACAGTTATGCTTGGTTTGAGGGTACAATAACCTGCTTTTTATTTCGAAAGAACAATTTCTGTAAATATTGTGATTATTCTGAATACGTTTTTCATTTTACAATATAACATTTCCTTTGATAGCTTCATGTACCTTTTTATGAATTATTCTATAGTTTGAAATGTTTAATTACCCTTGATCTTTTTCTTAGCCATTTTCAGGATGTGAATTTGTTGCCCATACAAAAAAAACTTAATCATTCCCAAAACAATATTATGTATGGAGACATGCATACTATGTGTGTACATATTTTTATTATTGTATGTGGGTATTTCATGGTGCTACATTTGTGCTACAATCTTACATTCCCGGAGCGTACCCCCTAAATGGGCTGATTAAATCTGGACCTAGCACAATAAATGGAAGTAAAGTGTGTGAACATGTTTAACATGTAGGAGGCAGTGCATCCATATTCAATGAGAGGCAGGCAGATTCTTTGCTGCAGCTGCAGCCTTGAAACTCAGGGTTTCTCTCTGGTGTTTGCGCAGGCTTTATCTTGCTGCCGTTTTCATCCACCTGTAAAAAGCAGAAAACGCAGCTGTCTTTCCTCCTACACACACCCACCCACCCATTTTTAGAGTGGAGGTTGCTTGGGTCACTTTGTCCTTGAAAGCTTTGGTTGATCTGAAGGACATCATTGCAAAATAATGATAACACTAAAGCGGGACACAGGGGTGTGTTTCAGAAAATATATTTCATAGAAAATGCTCAGTTAGAAACCTGCATGAACAATTTTATCAAACATTGTGAAAAAAAACATTCTTTTTTTGTATAAAAAGGTTACATTATTACATCTCAAGATGATAGCATGACCTTCATTTTGAGCAGGATAGATTCTCATGAGTTGAGGAGGATTTGAAGGTGTGAAGAGCTACAGCAGACACTGTGTATGAGCAGATTATTAATCAGCAGGTCCCTGCAGTGTTCTTTTTAATACATATCCCTCACTCATAACATTAAACATTGAACAGATGTTAAATTCTTTATGTAGTCATCCCATGTGTAAAACGACAGTCCGATGTATTTTAAAGTATCCCAGTTTGCAGCACATCTTGTCATATAGAAAGACAATAGGAAAGATGAAGTCATAAGGTTACTTTTACTCTTAAACAGTTTTGTTGCTGGGAAAAATCTCCCATCAGTTGCTGTTATCTAGCCATAATAAAAACAACTGTTTATAGGACAGTTTTTATGATCCAGATTTAAGCACAAATTATCTGCAGTTATTCTGTGCTTGCATTGACTCATAATGAAGCAATCCATGCAAACATGGTTTTCATTTAAAAAAAATTTCAGTTTAAGCTGAAAAAAAAACAGAAGTTAATCAACAAAACCCTAGCTTTGCACCCAGCATGGCCTCCATGGATAGAAAACATAGTAGAAATTCCAGGAATTAACTATTTGTTGGAATTTTTGACAGTTTGTATCTTATTAAATCACTAAAAAAAACCATACTAACATATATTCGTGAACATCTTTCTGTAGTATTAGACCACAAAATGGGAAGAAATATATATATCGTCTTTTACTCCAAAACATCAGTTACCACAAAAACAGTTAGCATGTCCTTGTTTTTTTTGTTTCTTTACATTCACCCAGCCAGCACTTTTATCAGATAAAACATAATTTTTACCTCACAGCTCTGAGTTTAGAGACAAATTTATTGCAGAATTTAGTCTGGGCAGGAATCTGGACCTTGGTCCAAAATCTAAAGGTTAATCGTATTATTAATTGTATTATTTGTAGAATTTTATAGAGCTGAATGCTGATCTGGGAAACAAACATCAAGGCCAACTTAATCATGCTCTGCATTCAAGTCAGAAAACCAGGAAGAATATCAAGAAAAAACATGTTTTAAACATTTTGCAAGATTTTAGTAATAAAAAACACATAAAAGCACCATAAAAGCTGGGGTTCTGTGCAGCACCTCAAGAGACACCATGGACCTTTTAGATGCTTCTCTAAATAATGCTCTTCCTACCCTGCCCTATTTTCTGTAAGTTTGCAATTTTGGCATACTATTTTTCTAATGACTACGTCTATCCGTGAAAAAAAATTATTTACTAACTGCTGAACCACAGTGAACATTTTTTTGCATGCATTTAAACAATGTTTTCTGACAGAAAAACTGAAAGACATCAGAAGTTAATATGCACAGTTTCTACACCTAATAACCAACTTGCATTTTGTTCATTTCTGTAGTGATAAGGATTTAATTTCCTTCTCAGGTGTTTTTGTCTCATGAGTTGATCAAATATGCAAACCAAGGTTTGTTTATGGTAAATTAAAGAAAGTCTTGTGACTAGTGACCAAAGCATCTGATTAGATCAACTCATGTTTTTTTTCCCCACTTGTTAAAGGATATCTACATTGCTTAATGATCAATTGAACTGCTTAACTTTTCTAATACTGGTGCCTTCTTCTACAATAAAGTGACTAATTGCTTTTAAAATCTTTCCATCCAATGGTTTTTGACCACAGCAAGTGAAAGAAAGGACCATTAATTGAAAGTCTGTAACCATTATTATTTTGGCGACTATCAGAAATCCTGTCTCCCATCTACACTTAGTGTATTCGCCAGGGAATACATGACACGGCTGTTCTTTGGAGAGGTCCATGTCGGCTGCTGACAGGAAGACGTCTCTGTCCTGTAAATCTGGGCTTGAGTTTTAAACAGGCCAAAGCGAGCTGCAAGGAGGAAAAAGTCCCGTCTGAAGGTATGGGTGAAGAACGCATAGAGGAAGGGGTTTGCGCAGGAGTTGATGGGGTAGAAAAGGACCAGGAGGATTTTGGCATCTGAGATGGTGATGAGAGGAAGCTTGAGGGCGGCAGAGATGGCAAAGAAGGAGATGGGCGCCATGCAGACAAAATCAGTAAAGATGAGGACGGCCATGCGTTGAGCCACTCGGGTGTCTGCATGAGCAGGTGCTGATGAAGGCTTGCGGTAGGTCAAGTAGATGCTCAGGTAACAGCCACAAACACAGAAAAAGGCCAGGATGTTGAGAATGAGTAGAGAAACAACGTAGACCTGGGATGCAACAGACTCCACATCCATTGGCAAGCAGATACACACCTGTACAGATAAAAAACTGTTCAAATATTGATAGCAAAATTCTAAAATGCACTTAATTCTCTAACTTATGTCAAACAAGTTTATTTAGAGGCAATATAAGGAGAGAAGCTTAAGTACAGAGGTTAAGAATGTTGGCTTCTTTGTCCTATGAATATGGAAGTCAGCTGAGTAGAATGGAAATAAGTGTGATTAAAATAAGTAGTTCATCGTTAACAAAACAAGCCTGAAATGTTTCATCAATCATTCAATCAGAGAACTAGTCAAGTGTAACACGACAACTCTGGAGGAGCTACAGAGATTCACAGCTAAGGTGAGAGAATCTGCTGAGGTCCACTTTTATGGAAAGGTGCAGACGAATAAGTAGTCTCATTATCACTTTGCAATGAGTCAAGTTGAAGACTAGACAAGATAAGACTGAAATTTTACTTTTTGGCCATATTTGCAAAACACAAACTAATTTCTTGTGGGTTGTTGGAATAAACATTTTTGTTGGAAAGCTTTTTAAAAATTTCTACACCTGTCCTATTTGTTAGTTTCAAATGTATACAATACTTTGAAGTTTGTGGCTGTAATGTCATAAAATGTGACAATAATCCAGCCCTTTTATGCCGAGCTCTTGCATTTGAGAAGGATCTTAATGTAACATGTGTTGAACAATAAGCTACCTACTTTGCTGTAGCTGCTTACACCAAATGTGGGCAGCAATGCAGCCAGCAGAGAGAAGCTCCATCCAGCTGTCATAATGATGCAGGCGTGCCTGAGACGAAGTTTGCGGTCGAGTCGCATGGCGTTTGTGATGGTGTGCCAGCGCTCCACAGTGATGGCCGTTAGCGTGAACACTGACAGCTCGCTGGCAAACACCTGTAAACCAAAGTAATTTACTATTCACAGACAGTGATGAGCAATGACATTAATGTACATATGCCAGCAACAAAATACACACACACCGTGAAAAATCCTGCCACTTTGCAGCCAAAACCCGTCTGCCAATCAATGGCATGGTTGTAGTAGCGTCCATGAGTTAGCATGTCAACAGTGGCAATCACTATCAGGTAGATACCCATGCAGAGGTCAGCGAATGCCAAGTGGCACATGAGAAAACGAGGAACAGTCAGCTTGGAGCGGCTCCCTAATGACAGGGCAGAGGGAAAACAAAAGGGCTTAAGTGAGAATTAAAGATTTGAAACAGCTACAAAGCAAGTTAATAACAGCTTTACAGCTTGTTATGTGACCATCCAACCCTGGGATATAAAAGGTATGAACAGCACTCTAAGAAAAAAAACTAACCAGTATAGTAAGAAGCTTAGGTAAAGAAAATGTAATCTGGAGTGTACAATAAGTTTGCCTCACATTGTTTCTATGAAAGCATTGTTGAAAGGCTTTTAATGCAGAGTATGTAGATCAGGCATCCCCTAAAGTCGGTCCTCTAGGGCCGCTGTCCTGCAGGTTTTAGAGGTTTCCTTGCTCTAGCACAGCTGATTTTAAATGAAAGCTCATTAACAGGCTTTTGCTCAACTGCAATCATCATAATCAGCTGTGCTAAAGCAGGGAAACCTCTAAAACCTGCAGGACAGCGGCCCTTGAGGACCGACTGTGGGGATGCCTGATGTAGATAGTGCTGAATAGCACAAAAGAGCTGCTCTTGCTCTGTACTGTCAGCTTTATGTTTAAAAAAGTACAGCTGTGCAGGGTTTTGCCATCTCAACTTGTAGTTTATAAATGCTCTAAGCATTTTATTTTAAGATTGAAATATTTGTAACGTCCTAATTTCTGTCGTAGGTCTACAAAGAGGAAGCTTCTACATGTTGATTGTTTTTAGGAGGTATCATCCTGTACTAATCTGCATGGTGACACATGGTGATGGAAGAATCATGCTGCAGGAAAGCTTTTCTGAGAGGTTGTCTAAAATTATTGGAGGGGGATATCTACTCAGCTATTAGCAAGAGTACCTTGGTGCTACCTTTAGCCATGCAAAACGTGGATGACTACCCATATACCAAAGCTTACAGCGGGTTAGCTAGCTGAAAGATGGCTGCAACACATTCATGCTTTTTTTTTTTTTTTAGATCAATGCAAATAGACGTTAGACTTTTAAAAAAACAATCATTACTCATATTGGTGAATGTCTTATAGTGAATATTAACACTGCTATATACATCCTAAATGATAATTAGTATTAAAAACATTAATTTTACAAAAAAAAGAGAAAAGACAAGTTTCTATTTCAAACCAAGAACTGAATCACATTAATGAATTAGAAAACCACAGCTGCAGAACAACTTTCAAGTAGTTTCTCACTAAGTGCATCTGAGCTTTACCTAACAAAACCAAAAGAACCACTGCGTTGCCAAGCAGAGCAAGAACAGAGATGATCCAGATGAGGATCCGTAGGGGGATGGGGGACATAATGTCCTCGCACGGATTAAACTTGTCAGGTGTCGGGCTGCAGGAGACGGAGGTGGAGTTGGAACAGTACTCTCTGTAGAAGGCTGGCATAGTTTTTGCATCAGGGTGATTACACAGAGAGATCCACTGAGATCTATCATTTGATACAAACAAGTAAAAAAAAAAACATCAACAATAAAACAGTGCAGTACCTGTTGAATCAATGATATTTTTATTGGATTTCTACCTGTTACTGTGTACGTTCTTGAAGGCGCAGCAGTGTGAAGGGTATGTCAGTTTGGCTATTTGGAGTTTTGTATATCGCTGCACAATAGGAAGCTCTTTCAGGTGATAAGCAGATTCTGCAAGCAGCTTCTTCAGACCACTGAGGATGGAGTCTGGCAGAGAGCTGACAGCTGTCTGAGAGATGTCTCTGTAGAGGCAGAGCCAGGAGCATGAAATTAATCTGAACAATAATTTGGCAATTCTTTTTAAATAAATTATGAACATACCCTAAAACATCTACACACACAAACTCATATTAGTCATTTATAGCTCTTCATAAAAAAAACTTTTATTTCAGAACTGTGGGCTTTCTGGTTGGTTTCAGGTCATACTCTGGCCTCTGTAATTCTAGGTGCTTCTCCTACAGTATGTTTGGTGTGTTGTCCTAGTTTTTGAGTTTTACATTTAAAAAATAATTTTGTAACGAAACATAATTTAGCCCAGACTCCATGGAACTTAACCGTAACCTTTTACATAACATTGCAGAGGCATTACAAGAATTTACTAGCTTTTTTCTCTTAAAATCCCTGGGTACTTTCTTCAGGTTTTATGCAACTCCAACTGATGAACCCAGAACATAAATAGTGATTTTAAAACAGTATATCATTATACGTCTAGTTCCCATTTTAATGTTTTTCAACACTCATGCTCATTTTAAATGCATTTTAAAATATTCTTGTCATATTGTCAATTTCTTGAAGATTTTTTAGCATTGTGTTTGGTACGAGTGCACTATAAGATGACAGAGAAACCAAATGCGCTTTTCAGAGGACATGGAACAGCTACAGCAGAAGGAAAGCAGGGAAGCTGAAGGAGAGAAGCTAATCAATAAGAATAGAGCTCAACCAGTGGGAAAATATATATAAATATTCTTGGGATTTTAACTCCCATTTTGGAAATGACAATGACACCTGTAGGGACATGATCAGGAGGAACCGACCCCCAACTCTGACTCCGAGTGGTATTTCAATATTGGACTTCTGTGCAAGTCAAAGATTTGTCCATAATGAACAACGTGTTTAAGCATTGGTGAACCTGGCTCCAGGACACCAATCGTCCTAGGAGGTTGATTATAGATCTTTTGACATTCACCTGCATGTCTTGGACACTTGAGAGTCCGGCTGATGGTCATACCATGGCAGAAGCAGAGTGTTTTTTTTTGCAGATGGTTCTGCTGGCTTCCTCCTGCCAAGATCTACAGTATGTACTGGAGCAATTTGCAGCCGATTGTGAATCGGCGGGGGTGAGAATCAGTGCCTATAAGTCAGAGGACATGGTTCTCAACCAGAAAAATGTGGCTCGTCACCTTCAGGTTTGAGGAAGATTCTTGCCTCAAGTGGAGGAGTTTAGGTATCTTAGGGTCCTGATCACAAGTGTGGGGAGAACGGAACAGGAGATCAATAGACAGATAGTTACGGCTGCTGCTATGATGTGAATGCTGTCTGTTGTGGTGAAAAGACAACTGAGCAAAAACCCAAAGCTCATGATTTACTGGTCATTATATGCACAGACCCTCATCTATGGTCATGAAATTCAGATCATACTAAAAGAACAGGATCCCGGATACAAGCAGTTGAAATGAGCATTCTCTGCAGGGTGGTTGGGCTCACCCTTAGAGAATGGGTGAGGAGCTTGGTCATTTGGGAGGGGCTTGGAGTGCAGCTGCTTCTCCTCCACATCGAAAGGAGTCAGCTGAGGTGTTTCAGGCATATCCTACCGGAGGGAGACCCAGAGGACAACCTAGGACACACTGAAGGGACTATGTCTCCCAACTGCCCTGGGAGCATATCGGGCTTCCTCCAGCAGAACTAGAGTTTAGGAGTCTCTACTGAGACTGCTGCCCCCCTGACCTGTTTCCAGATGAAGCAGGAGACGATGAGTATGAGTACTGTATGCTTAATTAAAAGGATTTTGGAGAAGTGGTGCAGAAATAATTATCCAAACAACTTTTTAACATGACAAGCAGCTCCTGTTTGTTTGACATGTTGGATACTAGAGGATGTCTCTTCTCTTTGGAAATGGGAAAATCTCTGTTATTGAAATTCACTGTCTTCAGAACCGTTTTTTTAACTCCCAGTTCTAACTTTCATCCAGATTTTCTGTTTAAAATGGAATATCAGAGTCATCTCCATGCATGTCAGACTGTTGCCTGCTTTGAGTTAAAAAGGTGAAGTGTAAAAGATACGAGAGAATGTCATGCTTACAGCACCACCAACCCATGGGAACCCACAAAGGCGTTGGGGCTGATGTGAGCAAGCTGCTTGTTTCCTCTGAGAAGCCTTAAAAAAAGGAGTAAGAAATAAGGAAATAAAATGTGAACGTTAAAATTTCATTTTAGTGACTGTGCGTCTGTCTGTGACTCACAATCTGTACATCTTTGTTCCATTGAAAGCGTCACTTGCCACCTTCTTGATGCCATTTCTGGTGAGCCGTCTGTCATCAGAAAGAGAAGCCAAATCTCAGTCACATGGCTCTAATGCTAAACAGTACCAGCAGTGAAAATTATCTGAGCCGCTGATGCCAAACTTGCTGTTTGCACTTCCTTTGTTCCCACAAGCTAAATCTGTGCAGCTACAGATCTTCAGCTAAACAGCAAGTGAATGGCTACTGCCTTTGTCAGCTGCTCTTTCCTCTTCTTGTCTTTTTTTCTGTTAAACAGAAGGGATGATAAAATCGTTGGCGATATTATGAAACCTGGGTCCCATCGGCACAGACGAGCACTGTAAAGGCTCCCCACTCATCCTACTGAAGAGCAAAGGGAAAGAAGCTCAAAGCAAACACATACTTATAATTTGTGGTTATTTTTGTGCATCCACCTCCAACATTTATACTTATGACTTATATAATATTTCATAACCATTCTGATTACTAAAGGGTCATTCTTCTCTGGCCTTGGTTGTCATTTTGTGGCCCTTTGGTTATCTTAATTTATATTAGGTTGCCTTTTTCTCATAATCAATCCTTTTTCATAGAAATATCAGAAGAGTTTTGAAGCTTTTTGAAAACTGCTTTACTTCCAACTGAATTACAGATACGTCCTTTGCTATTACTGAGTGTTTCTAACTATTTAGGCCTTTACAGAAACAACTAATTGACTAATAGTTTGTTTATTGCCCATATATGCAGCTACAGAGGCTCACTGAGGTCCAACTGATATCCTTGGGCTATTTGGAGGCAAAAAATGATAGATGTCATTTGTTTAATTCTAAAAACTTATTTGTAAGAGTGTACATCTGCTTTAGTCAGTTACTTCGGTAAAATATCTTTTTGGCCTGTCTCTATTAACCAATTCTTAAAAACTATGGCACAACTGCAAGCCTGTCTTGGTCTAACTAAGAAAGAAGAAACTACTCAAACATTGAATTTCAATAAAGATTTAGTGAAGTCATTTAAAAAGGCTGGATTTAACACAGGAAGATCGGTTTAATTGACCTTTTTTAACCTTAGCCAAAACAAAAAAGTCCTTTTTGGTTTGCGTCATGTGAAGACCCCAGATTCAGAGAGTGGCTTTAGCAAAGCAGAGGTTTGAATAATAAAACTTTAGGCAAATTTACAGTTTAATCACAGGATTAGCTTTGCTGCTCGGGCCTAAAAATAACAAGTGACAAAACATAAGACTAAACTAATAAACTCAACACTAAAGCATGGAGTAAAATCACAAGACCTTGAATTGCAAAAATAGACTAAGAAATTCCAAAATGTAGCAAGATCAATTTATATGTAAATAAATTAAACAAAATCCATCTTTTGACCACATGGGAGAGATCAGCAGTCTTTCTTTCCGTTTTGAATGATTTCCAGCGGGAAGATGGAAAAGCTACCAACAAATAAGTGGTATCTGTGGAGAAACTGCAGAGATCCACAGGTCAGAGTGGAGTTTCTAATATTTTCTAAAGCTATGTTCCTACAGTGGGTTTTAATGCTCAAATCCTATTTATGTGCAGGAATCCGATTTCTTTTTGAGGGGTTGTTCCAATTACCTTTAAAATGTTACCTATAAATGACAAATTTTTGTGGCTCATGGCGAGGGCAACTAAAATGATATATGCCATCACCTCTCTCCTCAATTCCTAAGCCGAAAGACTTGATGCAATCCGATGTATTGGGTTGCAACAACGGGGAGATCATCACATGTTCACTAATCACAAAAGCATTTTAAAGTCCTGTGTCTGAAGGGTTGAATACGCATTCTATGAAGCAACTATGTCCTAAATCTAAAAGTTTTATTTCTGCTTTTTATCAAGCTTTTGAATTTCGCTGGCTCTCTCGTGCAGTTCTATCTCAGCTCCTGTCTGTTTTCCAACTGCTACAGTGTCCTGCTAAAGGGGTGCAAAGTTGTGAAGAATGGGATAAGAAAATTACGTCAAGGTCACATCTAATCAGCCTTAGACGTTCCTACTGGCCACATCCTAAAAAATACAAGTTTGATTGAGACCACATAAGAATGTGGCTCGAATGTGACTTGAAAAAGTCAGACATGGGCTAGATCGGAGCGCTCCCACTAACTCTGGGCATTCCCACTCACTCTAAACATCCTAACCTGATCACTTGGACCACTCTTGCCTGCAGTGAAAATTAGGTCTAATAGTCATACACTTCACATATCAGTCCTTCATAATAAAGTGGGAAGAAGATGAGAAAATCCAATAGATAAATAAATTCATACCAGCATAAACCAGCCCCATGGTGATGCACTGTGCTGACAGCATCAAGCTGTAGGTTTTTTTTTGTTTTGTTTGTTTTTATCAGCAGGGACTAAGGAAGCTGGAAAGGCTAGAATAAGATAACTTAAGGTAAAACATATTTATGCGTTAGAAGGGTCAGGTCAAAGTTAATATGTACAGGTAATAGATGTTCGAATAATAATTAAATATTTTAGTCTTTTAATGAGCAAAGTGAGAGTAAAAGCACTCGTTTTTGGAAATTCCAAACCTTATCATGAAAACCTACCAAGTGCAGCTGCTTCTTCTGAAACAAAACTACCACCTGTTTTAGTAGACAAATTATATTACTCTATTGCACAAGCAGCACAAGTATTTGAGGTTCCGACACCGTATTTCCTTGTTTGTCAGTCTCATAATTATACAAAGACATGGCTGTGGGAAGTGGGGGTCCTTGGAGGTGCTACAACACCCCCAGTGGCGAGAGGGTGAGTTAAAAAAAATGTATCAAAAATACTTTGCACATTTTATAAATTTCTTATGAATATTTTGGGAAATTATTTAGACTTTTAGTATTAGCTGTTTTTTGTTTTTAATATAACCCTTTTGAGGCCTAATCAACACAAGTTTGTGGCAGTTTTGTTGTCATGATAACAGTCTAGCGAACTAGTGATCGCGAGGACAGATACATCCCACTCGTGGCAGCACACTAGTAAGTTTACATAGTTTAACGACACAAACGATGAGGAGGAAACATGGGGTAGAAACACATCTTGTATTTTTTTTTTGCAAAACCCCAACCAATGAAGAAAATCACTGGTACCGAAATCACTAAAACGGAGAGCAGCCGGAGTGAGGAGACTGTTTACCCGCCCCTGATGGCAGTTGCACCAGCGGACTTAGCACCTGCAACCCAAGCTAGTGTGCTTGGATTAGACAAACACTTCCAGCCAACATCCTCCTGTTTCAAATTTCTTGCACGGCATTGTAGTAAGGAAACGTTCTCGTGTTCTGTGGCACCGGCAAGGTTTGCTGGACGGCAGTGCATTATGTGGAAGAGCAAGATCACATTTTGTGTTTCATTTGTCTGAAAGCAGTTTAAAAAAAAAACCATTAATATAGAAAAATTTAAGAAAGACAACCCCTTCGTAAAGGCTGGGTTTTCAATTTGACGTAAAGCAACTGAAAAATTTTACAAGCATGAGAGTTCAGAGTTGCACATCGAGTCAATACAAAAGTTGGCTGCTTTGAATGACGTCCCCAAAGATGCTCAATAATCCAGCGCTCATGCCAGAAAGCAGGCTACTGCCAGACACTGTTTAGAGCTTCTCTTCAGGACCATCAGATTCCTTGGCAGCAAGGGAATTGCCTTCAGGGGTGACACAACACCGGAAGGAATACATGATTTAATGCTGAAGCACACCTATGATTTCCCTGAAGAAAGAAAGTGGATACAAGGAAGAGACAACTGGACGTCAGGCACAATACAAAATTAAATAATTTAAAAAGTTTGCTCATGCTATGCAGAGGGAAATTGTTGCCTGCTCATCACATTTTTATTTTATGGCCTTACAGCTGACAGTACAACTGACATTAGCTCCACTGAGCAGTTCTCCTGCAGTCTGAAATATGTTGACAGCAGCCTCACACTGTGATTTTGGGATTTTATAATGCTCCGTGCAAAGCATTCTAGGATATATCTGCTTCTTCTGAGGCCCTTTTTTTTCCCCCTCAAACACTTTGTAGACACCTTTTCTTTTATTAACCTCTGCCATTTTTAAAGAACCGCAGTGAGAAAGGTGAGCTTCAATGACTGTCTGAAACTGTAGCTCACGACACATATGCGGCTGAAAGTGCGCATGCACAGAAAAAGACAGCTAACGGTGTTAGCACAAAGAATTGTCTTACGTAAATATATTACTAGAATTATTGACAATTAGGAGGACCACTTATTTAGCTGATCCACCGATAGAACTTTGCCCTCTATACCTTTAAAGTGACTAAATTCGATTAAATAGATACCAGAAACTGCTGCATTATTTTATTTTAGAGAGTGTTATTTTTATCTTGTGTTCTTTGGGTAACATTTAAATAGTATAATAATATAATTTCCTTGAGGTTTGCGTAAAAGGATTTTGGAGCTGATAGAGTCATGTGTGAGATTAACACAGTGACTCAGGTTCAGTTATAATTTTATTGTGAAGTTTAATTAATAGCGCATATATTTACCTGAGAATTGATGATGTCTCTGTGTTACACACCCTTGTTGCATGCACTGAAGTGGATATGACAATCAAGTAATGAATCTCAATTTATTTATGTATTTTATTTTAAATAAGCCGATAGGCTCATTTGTCTTTTGTCTGAAAAAAACCCAAAACAAAACAAGAAAAGGTTTCA